GGGGGGCATGAGGCAAGTGAGAATGACTGCCTCTGCTAGGTCTATCAAGGTTGAGCTCGTCGAGGAGGGAGAGATTTCAGTCTCCTGCCGTCAACTCCAGCACCACTGCAGCCGCTCCCACCCACGTGCGCATCGAGCATCAGGGACTCGATCTTGACTGATGCCGCAGGCGCTGCTGAGGTATCGGGGATCGCCAGTCCTGTTCCGGCTGCTTCCGCAGGAGCAGGAGGATAGTTTTGCTCATTCGTCAAGATGCAACTCGTGTGGCAAAGTCGGCTCCTCCCGCAGACAGGGCAGAGCCCCGGCCGCTGAGGAGGAGAGGGAGGGGACAGAGCGGAGGAGGGAGGAAGACGTCCACACCAGCATGATCAAGTCGCTGAAGGAGGTGACTGCTGCTACTGCGGCTCCTCCTCCTCCTTCTCCTCCTCCTCCTGTGTGCCGTGAGAAGCCTGACAGGAGACCGAGAGGAGGATCCGAGCGGAGGAGAAACTCTGCAAGCAGCGACACCTGGTCAGCTCTTCCCCTGCTGGGCTTGAACAGGATGGAATGACGCGTTATGGCAGGCCCAGCAATCACTCCAGGACGCTGTCTTCATAGCCAAGTACCTCGACCTCTCCCTGCCGTCCCAGCCGGAACCACCCCTGTCCCCCACCGACCAAGAGCAGGAGCCCCTCGAGCTCTCTCTCAGCTGTACCAGGGAGATCTGCAAACAGCTATGTGCGGTGTTGCTTCGCCTGCTTTGCCGTCTGTGATACCCTCCCTGTCAACTCCAGCTCAGCGCTTCCTCGAGAAGCAGAAGGAGGAGAAGAAGCTGCAGGCAGAAAGAGACCAGCTCTTCGAGGACTTCGGGTTTGCTCCCTCCTTCCCTTGTCAGTCTCTGTTTCCTCCCGGTAACATCGCTTGCTCTCTAGACGACTGAGCGAGCTAGTGCAGTTCTTGCAAGAAAGATGCAACACGCTGGAGGCGGTAGCACAAGATCGATCTGCGCAGCGGCACTCGTTCTGACTGAGATGTTGCCGCAGGAGTTGTTGCAATATCAAGACTTTGAAGATCAAGAGTAGATAATGAAAGATGATCGTACTTTACCCCCACCTCCTCATTGTATGGCCCGTCAGACTGTCTTGAATGCACTCTAGGAGTTACTGGCCCGCGGCCCTCAGTAGTATGGCAGGCCGCCACCCGGTGACCCCGGGCCCGGGCCCGGGCTCAGCATTATTCGACTAGCCCGGCCCTCTAAGACATCTGAGGCAGGCAGGCGGACGGATGGATACTTTGGGGCGGGACAGGATCCGAGGAGATCTGAGGAGGCGGAGGAGGCGGAGGAGTCGGAGAAGGCGGAGGGTTGGCAGCAGCTCTAGCGGCGAGTGTGGAGGAGAGGAGAGAAGAGCTTGCTACAAGGATGTGAAGACAGAAGCTCCTTGCTCGCTTGACCTTGGGAGGGTGGAGGACCAGCAGGATGGTGGGAAGGATGAAACACCAGGATTCGATTGCTATGGGCCTCCTCCTCCTGTGTGGTCTGCTGGTGCGACAAGCCTCTTGCGAGGAGCCCACGTGAGCTCTCTGCATGCTCAGAGCCATGGCAGCTGACAGTCGAGCACGCAGGATAACGATCTTCTCGCCGATCGATGGAGCAGTGATCACAGGAGGGGGTCAGTGAACTTGTTAGCTGACGAGGCTCTTACCGGCGATGTCGCAGCTGTGTACCTCAACTACTCCATCTCGCACTGCCCGTCAGGCTCCTTCATTGCTGCGTACGTTGACGATGTGGGTGAAGCTGGCGGGATGGGCTCTTGCTCGCTTGCCTTGCGTTATCAACGTTGACTGTCAACTTCAGGCTGAGGTGGAAGGAAATGCTAAGCCATGCATGCCGATAGGTTGGTATGGCATCAGCTATCTGCCAGGTGAATCATCTCCTCTTGTTCTTGTTTCTTTTCTCTCCTGCTCCTTCCCATCCATCCTTGTTCTTCCCGCTCTCTCCCCATGGTCGAACTCCTGCCCCTCCTGCCCCTCCTGCCCCTCCTGTGCCTCATGTTGCTCGTGCTGCTCGTGCTGCTCGTGCTTCTCTTTCCATTTTCCCTTGCGCCGTTTCTGCTCATCGTGTCGCTTTCACCACAGAAGGCGAGCACACAGCTAGGGTTGTACTCTTGCAGGTTAAGATGCAAACTCCGCTGTCTGGTTCTAACAGTGTTGGAATCACAAGGACGAGACTCTTGTCGCCATAGCTCATTCTTCAGTTCATTTCGAAGTTGTCGCTGGGCATGGCAGGTCATTGTTCACTCAGATTTTCACTCCCCTCTCTCTTCTTCGTCTTTCTCTTCCTAATACCTCTCTTCCTCCTCGTTCTTGTATCCTCCCCTCCCCCCTCCTCTCTCTTCTTCATCATCAACGTTCCCTCAGGCTATTCTTACCCTCCCCTACCGTCTTTGCCGATGCTCTCCCAACCATGGCGTTCTTTAGTCACCCCCCGAACAGAACGGCAGTTGCATGGCAGGTGTGTTTGACTTGAACTTTCTGGGGAGAGTAGAGGGGAATAGAGGAGGAAACGAGCAAGGAGGAGGGAAAGGAGGCGACAGGAAGGGAGACAGGGCAGAGGAGACGAGGGGACGAGGGGAGAAGGGGAGGAAGGAGGAGCAGTATCAGACCGCAGACTTGGAGGCAAGGGCAGAAACGAGGAGGAGAGGAGGAGAGGAGGAGAGGAGGAGAGGAGGAGAGGAGCAAGAGTGCTCGGGAGGAGCCTCGTCTCAAGTTTCTCCCAGAGCGATGGGATCGTTTTCGAGCTCACTGCCATGAACTTCATTCCCGGCCGTCACGGCCTTTCCTTCAGGGTGAGGGCGAGGGGGGTGAGGCGGGGGAAGTGACGCGTCTGCTGGTGGGCAGGTGGCCGAATCCTTCTCGGGGCTCGAGTCTTTCGTTACTGACAGCCACAACATCTCGTTGCTGCTGCCTCAGGTGATGGAGGAGGAGGAGGAGGAGGAGGAGGAGGAGGAGGAGGAGGAGGAGGAGGAGGAGGAGGAGGAGGAGGAGGTGGTGGTGGTGGTTGAGGAGTATCAGTTATTTGAATTCCGTCTAGCATGGTGAGGACAATCTTGAAGTGACGTTACATGAGGAAGAGGATTGTTCTTGTTTTTTCTTTGATAAGATAC